AGGCTAAAGAAAGTACAAGAAGATGTGTTTGATGAGAGAGAGTCATAAAGAGGGATTTTGCTCTAATAGTGTGATATCGGGACAAAATTTTAGTTTTAGTAGTTGTTGAATGGTTAAGTTTCTACTTAATTATCAAAACTTTATTAAATTAGGATGTCATCCTTGTTTTTTTATTCAAATAGTATTTTATGTTTTCTTCATTTAATAAAGTGTTGGATAAAGTATTACGGACACTTTTACAAAGTATTGATGAGAAAATTATTATTATTATTATTTAATTTATTTTCCAAAAATTTTATATTATATTTATTATTTATTTGGAGTAGAAGGATGTCACAACTGCGTCTTTGTCTTTTTCGATAGATAGAATAGAGATGAAGGGTAACGAGGTTATTAAAGGTGTAACAACTATGTAAGTAAATAAAAAAGAGTAAAATATTATTATTATTATTATTATTATTATTATTATTTTATAATACATTACAAATTTACAAATTGACGATAATTCAAATTATTCTACTTATTAGTTTAATGGATCAATCCGTAAACTTGTGTATTAATAATATGTTTTTATGATTATCTATTAATTTAAATTAATAAAATAAAATATCAAATAATTTTTTAATTTTTTAAAAATTTGCAGACTTGATCTATGTATTAATTAAGAACTTTAAATTCAATGGTTGAATTATTGAGATTTAATATAGAATATGAGTTATTGAAATTTAATATAAAATATGAATTATTGAATTGAATAAATTTAGACATTTAAATTAAAATGCAAAAACTTATATTAACACAATTACTTATCATCATTTTGAACGTAAATTCTCTTTGGTATTAGTCACAGCTTTCAAAGAAAATTAAAAAAAAAATAAAAATATTGACCTTTTTCTTTCATTTTTCAAATGAGTTACTTTCTAAAAACCTACATATGATCCAAATCACTTACTGTTATACGACCTTTCTTGATGGGCTAATCTTTTCTAATGATAGAATTTTATATCGTAAGAAAATAATGTTAGGAAAGAAACATTTTATAGTTGCAATCATCATTACTAAGTCACAATAAACAATGAATAGTTACATGAAAATGCCGCTAATACGATCATAATTATAATTGCAATTATAGTTGTTGACCGTGCGAAGAAGAAAATAAATCCCTAGAGTCTGTTTGATTGTGATGACATAGTGAAGAAATAGAAAATGGATGAGAAATAAAAAATGTGATTTGTTTGGTTGTGCTGAAATAAGAAAAATGAAAATAATAATAAAAAAGTGAGGATTTTATACCTTTGTATTTTTTTAAAAAATCTGAAAAAAATTTGGCATCGAAGTTCATTTTACAAAGAGTTTAGTTAAGGGTGAGCATTAAACTGAGACCTGAATCGAACCTGAAAAACTCGATAAAAAATATTATTTTTGGGTGGGTTTGGACGGGTCTTATGGGTAAATTGGGTTAAAATTTTGATTTTATACGAGTTATGTTGGGCGGGTTTGGTTTTTAATTTTTAAACTCGCTAAAAATCGAACCCAACCGAAAATGAGATAAGTTTAGATTTTTATTACTTTTGTATAACTAAACAACAATGGTCCAAACTTAAAAGTCTTTATTTCAAATATAATATAGCCATCAATTTGTAACTTATTTTATTCCTTTTTCTCATAACTTAGATATTTATTTTATTTTCTCCTTCCTCATTCAACTTCTCAACACACTAGTCCATTTTTAGAGTTTTCTTTTTGTTTTTCTTTGTCTTTCTTTTCCATTTTCTTATCTCCATTTTGAGTACAACTTGTGCGGCTGTGGTTTCATATAGATTTTGTAATCTAACTTTAGATTTCTTTTGCATGTAACAACTATGAATTTTGTTATCTTTTATTTTTGCTTCTTTAGTTTGTAAATGTTTCATCTACGAATCTACTTACACCATCTATTGTCACCTTCATTCTATTTTTGTACACTATTTTAAAAATATTTTTTTATCGTTTTAAGCTTCATCTTCTTTAAGATAACTTGGTCTACAAAAAAATTCAAACCCGATTGTACCCACCTGCTCAAATTCGAATCCGTTTCAACCCGAACCGTCTCAAATCGAAAGCTCAGTCGGTTGGATATGAGTCACATTTTTCTAAAGTCGGTTTACAACGGGTTGGACATTTTTCACCCGAACCCGACCAAACCCACCCGTTGCTCACTCCTAAGTTTAGTCGATTAAATTTTTATTTTATCAATTAAACTTTTGTTTCCTTATTCTATTACGTATAGCAAGGATAACATAACTTTAAAAAAAAAATTTATCAATCAAAGATTTTCTATAATCGATTAAACTTTGTGATATATCAATTAAATAAAAATAGTAATTAATTAAAAATATATTTTATTTTTATTTTTATTTTTAAATTTATTTCTTTTTTATTTTGTTATTTCCTTTATTTATTTTTTCTCTTCTATTTTCATATACTTATTTCTCACTTATTTCTTTTCATCCTATTAAATATATATAATATCATTTTTTATATTTTTTTTTCTATTTCTTTTAAATTAAAGAGTTAAATTTTCACTCTACTTTTCATTTATTTTTATTTATCTATTTCTCTTCGCTCTATTTCTATTTACTTTTTTTTCTACCAAATATGTAACACTGTGAGTTGTGATAGTGTTATATTATTTTTAGTTATTTTATGTTGTTAAGTTGAGTTGTTAATATTGAGAGGTTCAGGGGTCTGATGGTCATTTTAGAGCTTCAATGGTGTTGAGAGAGAGTTTTTTGGCAGAAACCCAGATTGACCTAGAGGAAGGAGTATATAAGATTTTTGTTTTAAATGGAGCCTCAAACTCTTTTCCTCAACTTTCTAGAGATAGAGTCTCTAGTCTATGATCTCTTTTTCTCTCAATCTTCTTTTCTTCTTCCAATTCTTTTCTAAGTTGTGTTGTTGTGATTCAGGTAGTGAAAACCTTGAATCAAGTCACTAATCTCGTGTGGAGTTTCGTTTTCTTCTTCTTCTACCTTGGTTTCAAGCTACCTGAGGTAGGGGAAGCTAGATTCTTGCTTTTGTGGAGTGTTGAAGGTTGTGTTGGTGGTATGTTGCATGAATTCATTTCAATTCATGATTGAATGTGGATCGAATAAGAGAGTGTTGTGTGTTGAAAGTTGGGGTTTGGGTTCTTGGTGAAGAATATGGTGATCGAAAATGTTTTGTGGTAGCATATTGAGTTTAAGTGTACATAAATGTGTATTGTGATGTATATGGTTGTAATTTGAAGTTGCATGTGTTGGATTTTCGTTGCATTGTAGGTTTTTGCTAAAAAAAATAGGTTTTGCATATTTAGAATTTTGATACCGCATCAGGTCCACCTTCAAGGTGTTGAGTGTTGTTCTATTTTGAGGCTCTCTGTCTCGATCATGTTGAGCATAGGGTTGGTGGCATCGAATGTGAGAAGAGAGACTCATCTTGGGTTGGAACTATGTCAACCATGGTTTAATGATGCCAGACGTGGAAACCTTGAGAGGTCTCTAACATGGTGGTGTCAAGTCCAAAGTTGTGTTGCGCTCAGCGTGGCCAAGCTAGAGCTCTCTATCTAGATTTCACGAGGCATTGAGGTGGCAACATTAGGCGAGAGTCAGGTAGAGACTCTCGACCTAAGATGGGGCTGGACGTGGTGTTTTACCACGCCAGACATGAGGTCTTAGGGGCCTCTACCTTAGCCACGTCGGGTGCAAATTGTGTATCCCCAAGCATAGGTGAGGTAGAGAGCTCCCTATTTGGATGGTGTCAAGCACCAAGTGAGTAGTGTTGGGCGTTAGTTGCTAAAGAAGAACATGATGATTTTATTGTGAGTTGTTAGTTGAGAAGTAGACATGAGTTGTGAGTTGTATGTTGACCAAGTTGCATGTTGTCTTTGTAGTTGTGTTGAATATAAAATACATTGTTGAGATGTTTGTTGATTTTAGAGTTTAATGAGTTGTGATGGTTGAGTTGTGGGATACAAAGTTGTGTGTTGACTTTGTTTCTGTGCTGAATCCATAAAGAATTGTTGTGTTGTTGAGCTGTGTTGACCACTTAGAACTAGAGATGTTTATGAAAGTTGCATATCTTATTGGGTGGATATTGTATTGAAGTACTCTGAGAGCTCAAATTTTATTGAAAACATTTATTGAGAAGTTGACCATTGAAGTGGATGTTGTATTGTTTCTCATCCAGAACTTTATTGATACTATGTTTGTCTAGACAAGGTCGAGGCGCGTGTGTATAAAGCGACCAAAATATTTAAACCAATACCATCGTTAAAAAAATATAATGGATTTTAATTAGATTCTAATAGAAATATACAAAAAAAAATTATAAATTATAACTATATTATGTATAATATTTTTTGTTTAAATAAATAATTTAGTCCCTACACATGTATGGATTCTCAATCTAGTCCTTATATATAAAAATTTATTAAATCGATTCCAATACATGTAAACATTACTAATTTAATCTCTAAAAACATTAGTCTTCTTATATATCCTTTATTTGATCTTTATACATGTAACAAATTATTAATTTAGTCCCTACAAGATTAACACATTCTTAATTTGATCGCTAAACTAAGAATGTGTCCGGAGGTTGACCTAGGAGCGATTTTCAACTGCGTTAAAATAATCCTTGATTATTATTTTTGAGAGACGGGATCATGTTGATGAAAAAAAAAATTAAAAATGCACTAGATGCATAACAACTAAATTAAAAGTACCCTGCAAATTAAATTAATAATGTATAATTGAGTTAATGATGTTAAAGACTAAATTGATAACATTTAACAAATATAGGGAATCATATTAAGAATCTTTGCACGTGTAAAGTCTAAATTATATGATTAATCTAATTTATTTATTTATACACACGGTCATTGGATTTTGTGGAGGCTGGTCCCATGACAACGAGGCTTTGTAAGCTTTTCCCCTATAGACGACAACCTTATAAATTGTCATCATACACAAACGTGAGTGAGTCACGCTCTCCTGAAACTGAAACTATGATTTTATTTTACGTATGAATTATGATGATAATAAACAATTCGTTCCTTTAATTAGCTTAGCCTCTTCAATAGCACACGCCACGCCACTTCATACAAACACAGTACTTTGAGTTTGAGATAACCGCAACCGCGCCATGGCCACGGACTTTAGCTCCATCCCCTTAATCGGTAATCTAATCTTCCTTTCCACTTCCATATGTACACGCCCATAGTGTTACTTTTCATGATTTTCAGAACTTGCTTTATTGGAAATTATGAAAACATGTTACAATTCGATTAGGGTAGGATGGTTTTTACGATTGTTAAGTATTTATTTAGTGCGTGTAGTAGAGAATTGTTGTGTCAAATTTTCTTCACTTTATATTAGAACGATTTTTTGGTGTGCTGCTTTTAAGATAGTAAAAATAACATTATTAACGATGATGATGATGCAGATATTAGTCCCCTTCTAGCTAAGGCAGATGATCCAAAAATGGCTGAGGACCCTGGTGTACTCGAGGTTGTTAGACAATTGGATAAGGCTTGTACGGAGGCAGGGTTCTTCTACGTGGTAATTGTTTTTTCCCTGGTTGCTTTAGGCATTTCGATGCAAAAAGAGTTATTATTTTTTGAATCGTGTGAGGTGAGACAAATTGATTACAATCTAAATTCTGTACTATAATAAAGAGGTTAATCTTTAAGAAACAGTTGGTCCACTACAACTTTTTCTGACATATTTCATGTTTTAAATTTCATTAAGATTCGAATTATCTATAGAATAATGGTTTTGTTGCTAGGGAATGGCACGTAGGAAGATTGAGATGATAAAATAATAAATTGGATGAAGAGGAAGAAGGAGAAATGGATGACTCATTGTAAATGAATATACCTTTGTTTTCGCTTACCAAGTTAATTTGACAAGTTACGTTTATGGCACAGCTTAAGCAAAACTGTTACCACCAACACGCTTTTGACTGAATAGAGTTCTTCTATTCAACTTCAGGAAATCAATTGATTACTCTCTCATTCGTTAGAATCTGTTTACTAGAGGGGTGAAAAATTCATGAATCAGTTTACGTTACTACTTACTACTAAAATTAAATAGAAAATTAATCCATGAATTTTTCATCTCCAATATTTTTATCCTTGATTGTGGGCAAAAGCAGTTGATGCTGTCACAACTCATAATTGCAATTACTACAGAAACCTCAAAAAGCTGACTGCAATTTAAAATCATGCATAACACTTGGGACACTTAGTGTTTAATGTTCAATTCCTATGGTTCTTGATTCACAGACAGGACATGGTATTCCTGATATTCTCCTCAAAGAGGTTAGAGATGTAACACGCAGATTCTTTGAACTTCCATATGAAGAAAAGGCAAAGATCAAAATGACTCCGGCTGCTGGGTTCAGGTTTGCTTGGTTAAATCGATGTACTTCATATATAAGCTTCACTTTCAGTAATTGCCACATCAGGTTTATGAATCCAATTTCTGCTGATAACGGCCTTGTGTCTGCTGCAGAGGTTATGAAAGGATTGGAGAAAATATTACTCTAGGTGTACCTGACATGCATGAAGCCATTGATGTAAGTTTTGGTTGTTGCTTAACATACAATTAGATGTCTTTGTTTCTAGGGTGTTGTTGATTTCTGATTGGTATGTTACAGAGCACATACTAGAAACGACTACTTGAGTTTGTTATTATTGACATTAGGTTCGTCTTAGAGTATTTTAAAATCGAGTATAATATTATTTCCCGAAAAGTGGCCACCTGCTTCTTACACATGTAACTTTTCTAATGTAGCTCATTGGATCAATCTAATAAGTACGTAACATTGTTGTGATTAGATTCCCTCAGTTTTCATTTTCTTTCTCTGATTGGAGCCTAGCATAGCAGGCCCAAAAATTCACTCTGTTTCTTGTGGTTCTATCAAACAATAAACGATCTGTTTAATTTCATTTTAACAGTGCTATAGGGAAGTGACCAAGGGCATGTATGGAGATCTTGGCAAAGTTATGGAAGGAAGCAACCAGTGGTATAAGGAAATAGGATTTTCTGTTTAATATTGCTTGTATTCCTTCCCCACTCCTTTTATTTTTCAATATTTAGCTAAATGTTAGCTGAAGAGAACAATTATACATATGTTTTTAATCCTGAATTCTTGATTAACTTATAAAATACACTGAATTAGATTGATGTCTATGGATACTTTTGCATGATTGAAACTCTCTGATCTGACTCTTCACTCTTATCATTTGATTTATTGCACTTGGGAGTTGGGAGTATTAACATTCAGAAAGTGGTCTTTCTTTACCAAGATAATGTCTGCATCATTCCGGACTGATGTGTGTCTTTTGACCCTCTTTTGTTTTGGGGCTCATCATGCAGGCCACAAAATCCTCCAACTTTCAAAGCTCTTATGGAGGAGTATATTAGTCTCTGTACAGGCATGCTTTTCCCCCTCCTCTTTTCTTCCGTCATACGAGTTCCTGCAGTTAATTTTTTGTTTTCTTATCTAGTTCGTTGGTTAGAGCAGACCTTGCAAGGAAAATCATGCGTGCAATTGCTTTAGCATTAGGTGGATCACCGGATGAATTTGAAGGTCAAAGAGCTGGGAATCCATTTTGGGTGATGCGGCTCATTGGTTACCCAGGTGTATCATCTGCAAATGGAACCAATGCTCTTAAAAATGACATTGGCTGGTAATGAAATCCTGTATCTAGAATTTCCAAATGTTGCCTTTTTTTTTTTAATTACTAAGCCTTACATTACTGATATCGTTTCCTTTATGTTACTTATTCTTTTAATCAAAATAAACCCAGCGGAGCTCACACTGATTATGGTATATCTTAACCTTTACATTATAACTCTAGAATCTGTTTAGCCATTGTCATTGATTTTAGATGCTGTTTATCAGGTTTATTGACATTGCTTAACCAAGATGACGATATAAACGCACTTCAGGTATGCTCTTATGTCTTTATTGAAATTAAGATACTCATGCTCTTCATTTATTGCACGCAGTTATTGATTTTACTTTTTCTCTCACTGCAATCAATCTTGTACCATGCTATTATAAACTCAAATTCTGGAGCTCCCATGCAATTTTAAATATCTGAGGCCGGTAGCTTCAGAGACCATTTGCTTGTAACCCCATTTCCTATAAGTGACTAAATCTTTAAAATAAAATGAAGTTTTTCAGATGTGGCTGGTTCTTTCAACGCATGCCTTAATATATGGCATGTGTCCATGGTTGTTAGAATTGGCCAAGGAAGACCCAAAAATGCCTTGAAACCTAAATGGCTAAAATATTTAGAGTTTTATTTTATTTATTGTTATATTATTTTATTTTAATTTCTCTAAGCTAGAATGATTACCACTATGGTCATCTTTAGCAGTAATTAGATTATAAATTTGTACTCATAGACTATCTGGAATCATTGAAAAGAGATCTATTCAATAGCAGTAATGTTTATCTTCTTACAACTCTCTAATGGTAGTCTTTTAGATGATTTACAGTAGCTTTTATTTAGCTTTCTATCAATGGTGCTGCTGCTAACCAATCTGCATTGACACTGTTGAAATGCAAGCAAAGTTCTACATCATTCAAACAAGAGGATGAACATAGACTTATATACACACAATTGTCTCTATTAGTTGAGAGACTTTTTGAGTAATGTCCAAAAGCAAAACCATGAAGGTTTAGGTCCAAAACAAATAATATCTTATTAATATGAAAAACATGTCTATATGATATAACCCTCAGTGTACAACAAACACCGAGCAAGTTTTATTAATTCAAAAACTTTTGAATGATCTCCAAAAGCAAAATTATGAAGGTTTAAATACAAAGCGGATAATATCTTACTAATGTGAAAGACATCTTTGTATGTACAACCCCCGGTGCACAGTAGACACTGAGCAAGTTTTATTAATTCTATTTTGTAAATTGAAAAACCTGTCATGGCTAGCAAATTCTGTTCTTCTCTTATGGCTAGTTGAGACAATTTTCACAGGCACCAATTACAATCTAGAAAACTTGTCTGCATCCAATGCATCTCTTATTTTTGTCAGATTTTGGCAGAATTTTTTTTTAGTCTTCTTTTTTAGTGTTTATTTCCCTGCCTATTTAGTACCGCTGTTTTACACTCACTAATGCCACCATGTTGATGCTATGAAATTGTTGAAGGTGAGAAACCTGTCTGGCGAATGGATATCAGCACCTCCGGTTCCTGGGTCATTTGTGTGCAACATTGGTGACATGTTAAAGGTATCTTCATCTCTTCATCTCATTAATATAATGAGATTTGGTAGATAATCTAATAAGTGTGGAAGGGAACTGCAGATATACTCCAATGGTTTGTATGAGTCAACTTTGCATCGGGTGATAAACAAGAACTCAAAATATAGAGTCAGCGTAGTATATTTTTACGAGGTTAGCTACATTTTTCAATCTACATGTATGTCATCTTTTTCTAGTTTGTTTCGTTGCTTATCCCATACGCCACTACTGCATGAACAGACGAACTTCGACACTGCAGTAGAGCCATTGGACACACATAAAACGAGGGCAAATGGCAACAAGAAGTTCGAAAGACCAGTTTATGGAGAGCATTTAATTAGCAAGGTCCTCACAAATTTTATTTGAGTAACTTTGTTTTTCTTGTTATGGTTTGTAAATAAGTCAGCCTATCGTCTAGCAGGCTCCTTGCTTGCTTGTCTAAAGCTGATAATAGTTTAAGTACAAATCAACTATTTGTTATATATCAACGTCTTCCTTCTTTTCAAAATTTATGACAGAGGTTCAGGATTAGGACTTGGGAGGTATCCACATACTCCCAGAAGCCATAAATCTTACCATTTCAAACAAACCAAATAAACAACTAACAGGGGATTTGTTATCAGATTGTTGAAGAGGTTAAAAAAGTACACAAATTCAGCCTATGAAACGTTCAAGACAATAACATAAATTTATCCGCTCTGAGCAAGCATCAGCGTTTTAATAGAGTACAACACTGCCGTTTGGCAATTGCCATAAGAATGAAGACAAATACAACACAGAGTTTAGAAATTTGAACTATTCTCACTTCTAATCACTACAAAATTGTGTCTAAATAATGTGCAATCATGCTAATTTTTCCTGGCCGCACCACCTCTATTACAGAAGATATTTCATTGAGGTTCTGGCTTGACTTTGAACTCCAAATGTTGGTATGCAGCTGTGTTAATCTGGCTAACTGTCTTCTGTAAGTTCTACTCGGGTACTTTGTAAAGTGGAATTCTTGTACCTGTATCCCTAAGTCGATCTACCATGTCATAGAGAAATTCAAAAGTCAGTTTAGATTGTTTGTTAAGTTCCTCCCTGATGTGAGGCTGAAGGCTGAACCAGTCCCCCAACAATTTATGAACATGAGAACGAATCATTCTCCATGGCACAGGGTACTTTTCACACAGCTTCAAATACTCAATTAGCAGATCTGCCTGGTCCAGTTTTCCATCCACATTGGTGCCTTCGCTTTCAGACACCCATTCAGCAGTTCGAAATCCGGCAAATACAGCTGGATTTTCAAGCAAGGTCTCAGCAGAAAGCACCCCTTCTACGCCAGTCTCTGCTAAGCAGTCTCTAACATCATCCATATGCCTTATGTTCCCATTCGCAAGGACAGGGATTCTGACTGCATCCTTCACAGCCCTGATAGCTTTCCAGTCTGCTCTAAATTTCTTCCCATCCTTCTCATCTCTTGTTCTGCCATGAACAGCTAAAAGCATACAACCAGCCTCTTCAAGCATCTTAGCATACTTCAAAGTGTCCTCTAAATTTGGAAAGAGCCTAATCTTGCACGAAACAGGAACCTGGAGGTTAGCAGCCAATTTTTCCACAAGAGATTTCACAAGAGGAAGGTTATCCATCAAGAAGGCACCATAGTTTCCCCGCTTAGCAATGCGCTGAGGGCACCTACATAACCAAATAAAGTAAATCCACCAAAATTTTATCAAAAAGGTAAAAATCCAAAAGAGCTTAATTGAGTATAGTATTGAGAAATTGTTATACATTCTTCGAAATAAGAAAAGTTCTTGGATTTTTAATGTGTTAGTGTACCTCCCTTGCTATGTAGATGATCCCTATCTCACACTTAACAATATTCTTTATGTCAAAAATGAGGTAATGGACTAACAGTGGTAACAGAAATGAAGAAAATGATGATTTATTCAGAAGGAATCAAGGACTCAAGCTTGTGCCTAGTATAAGAACAAGCTGAATCAGAATTCTACAAGGGTATGAACTGGTCCGAGCATGTCGAGAGGCTCTGCTTCTCTCCTAAACCATACTTCTGTCTCTTTCCCCAACAGACCCCTTACTCACTGACGTGGTACAAATACAAATCTCTATACTGCACTCTTATCAGTACAAATAAATGCAACAACCTCCCAACCATTTGTAGCTAACTTCAGTCACATCACAATTTGGGCCTGGTTAGTCACAGACCATTAGTATAGATAGTTTTGATCATGCGTCTGTTCATAAACATCACTTGGTACTTAAGAACTTTTTCTTACTCCTAAACACATACAAATTCATTGTACAGTAACTAAAATCTTAAGCTTGAGTAAATTACTCTCTTGCCTTGGAAAATGTTTAAATTATACTGTCCTCTCCTTCAATTTTTTTAAAATTACACTTCCATCTCTTGAAACCTGAAATGCACCATACTAAAATCCATTTAAATGCAAATGAATCTCTTAACAAGTTAACATTGGTATAAAAAAAATAAAAATAAAAAACTATGAATAAACCTCCCAACGAAATTTTTCCTTTCTCTATAACTTTCAATGTCAACAGTGGCTAATTTTGAACCCAGTATTATTGATTTTCGGACTTTAGAAGATGACATGAAAATTGAAACACCAACCACAAAAATCTTCATTTCACCTTCAAAAGTCCCAATTCAAGAGGTTTGTTTACATTGAAGTGGAACAAAGAAAGAAACACAAATTGGTCTTAAAGGGAAAGTGTAATTTTGAAAATTAGACGACTCATTGATTCCTCCTCATTTCAAAAGGCAATCACATCAGGCATTGAAATGAAGCAGATTCATAGCAAAGAGAATGTAAATAAACATTACCCAAGATTAATATCAACATAATCGCAATAAGGCTCCACCTTGCGTGCAGCTTCCAACAACACATCAGGATCGTTGGCGCAGAATTGAACAAAGAGGGGTCGATCCTCCTGCAATTGCTCCCAAAGTCACAACAATAACATAACAAAACAACAAAGGGGTCATTGTTATTTACTTTACCTCGCAAGTGGTGAATTCTTCGTTCCTGTATTTTTGGGTCTCTGAGAAGATGCGGGAATGAAGCATGGGCGTGTACGCGCCCTGGGCACCGTACTTGCGGCACAGCATTCGAAACGGTAACTCCGAATTGTCGACCATGGGGGCCACTATGAATCTGGGTCGACCCAACTTGGCCCAATGAGCCCACGCCCGTTCCGCCCGAGACTCTCCGCTTAGGGTCCGGGCCGGAAAGCCCAAGTGGCGGTGGTCGTCGGGGTGTTCACAAGGTGGGGTTTGGGCCATGAGGGGACGAGATTGGGCGCAGGAATATCTGTTGAGATAGAGAAAGGAGTAGGAGTAGGGTTTAGGTTTCATCAATGATTATGAACGATGGGTTTTGCGAAGTAACCCATCGCCTTCGCCGCAATCCAATTACGTTAATGCTCGATGGCCTGTGGTGGGCGTTGCGTTGCGTTTCGGAAAGAGGAATATTAAAAGGAGAAATATTATTAAGTGGACTCTAGATACACCAATATGTTTTATTTTCTTTCACCATATCAAGAAGAATGTTATCATTTGTGTGATTATAGAGGCCAACAAACACCTCAAGGTCCAAAAGAGTTATTCAATTATATGCATTATTCATTACATAATGTGATTGAAAGATATTTTGAGATTTTAAAAGCATGTTTTCTTATTTTGAAATCAATGTTGTCATATGCCTTGAAGAAATAGAAATATAAATCATTTGCATGTTTTGTTATCTATGTAACAGATATGATTCATATACCTCTTAAAAGGACTAAGAACCTTACATTTGTAGGGTGTTTATTTGAGTAAAGCTAAATAGTATTGAAGTCTCTTAATTATCTATATTCAAAGTATTCATTTAAGCAATTATATGATTATCCACAAGAATAAAGGAATAACGGTCATCACTTTTCATCATTGTCATTAAATGACCAATAAAACACCATTAATATACCATTGAATGAATAGTAATGCATCATCTAACTATATAAGATAATTTTCAATGGAAAGTGCTTAATGGAGTTTTTATTGATAAGATACATTACTTAAAAAAAACTTTATATATATTATGACAGAAGTGCTATAAGAAAGAGAATATTATTGTTATATGTGAGAGAGAAAATTATATGGTAAAGCCCACAAATTGAAGTTAACAATTCATTTGCATTAGAGTAAAATTTGATGAAAATTTTTTAAACTTAGAGCAACTCTAATGGGAATTGCTTGTCCCATGAAGCAACTCAAGTCCCGATTTTTTATTATTGGAGGATTCTGACGTGGTAACATGAGTTGCTTGAAGAAGAGAGAGAGTTGCTTCCTCAAGCAACCGTTCCTTACCAGATTTTAAGCAAATCTTATTGAACATATTTGAGAATGTTTCGGAAATAATAATGATGAACATTAATTTCATATAATGTCTATGTATTTATTATTATTTTATTTTATTTTTAATATCTACTTATTGTGTATTTTTTTCTCGTAATTTATTTTCTTTCATTGTAGTGCAATTATCCTTTCTAATAAAAATTTAAAATTGGTTCATAAATGATTAGAAAAAAATTCTAAAAATTGAATTTCTTAAAGTTTCTTACCATTAAAGTAATAAATTTGTGTTTGAAATTTGAATTGCTTAATACTGACATGTCACACTCAAGACCACTTTTTTCATTGAAAATGTATGAAGCAACTCAAATGAGTTACTTCCATTGGAGATGCCCTTATATAGCATTATAGGACCCACAAGTTTAAAATAAATAATCATTTAAGCAACTCATGGTTGGAGATTCTTTAATAAGGTCTTTATATAATCATTAGATACTCTTGTTTTTCTCCAAATTAAAATGCACCTGGATACCTGTAACCTGAGCATCAGAGTATCATTGTAATTTGTAAGTAATTCGCTCAGACGATGAGGTATCAGACTGTGAGATAAAAGAGAAGGGAAAGTGTTCTAAACTTGAAAGATTACAATATTGTGTTTATTTTTTAATAGGTACATTTGATGCTCGCTATGGTGTTGTAGACATTTTTCCTAGTCACAAGATTTTCAAGAGAATGACGAATAATGGAAGAATCAAATGTCTCCTCAAGAAGACGACGACATGTCAAAAAGTATCAGATGCTCTTAGAATTGTGTTGAGAAATGCAAGAGCAAAATGATAAACAACATGCGCAAAATGAATATCAACTACTAATTATTAGGCAAAAGAATGTCGATATGCAAAGACAAATAGAAGGAATAAGTTGTAGTACTCAATTTCTTACTTGAGAATGATAGTACTTGGAGACCTCCCAAGATGAAAGATGCATAGGAAGAAACTTACACTAGACCCTTTTGAAATTATTAAAAATTCAAATGAAATTTTCTTTATTCAATCTTTTAAAAGAATATGACTAGTTATGATGTGATTGTAATTGGTCAAATATAAACATGCAAAATCATACAATTTTATCAAATAAAAGTAATTACAATAATCATAGCTGCAAAATTAAAAAAAATGATTGAAATTATTATTTAATAGTTGTTTAAAAATATATTCAAATTTAATATACGAGTAATTATTACTCAACAAACACTTTTATTTTTATTTTTAAAAGTCATTGTAGTCATTGTAATTCTATAAAATATAGATCATTGAAAACATTCTAGCAAAATCAAATATTTGGAGAAGTTATAATATGTAGAAATTTTAACAACATATTATTTGACACAGTTAAATATATTTCTTTTTTTGGTACAAAAATATATTACTTTTAATTATTAAAAATAAAATTATTTTTAATTTTAGGTGTAAAATCAGTAAATACTTAAATAAAATTATTTTTAATTTTGTCCTTGCTTATAACAAAATCATAAAAACTAATGTAAGTAATAGATAAATCTTTATTCAACTTTATAAATTGTAGTTGATAAACCCTAAACAAAGGTTCACAATATCATGACCATAAAACTAAATACACATTTAAGTGCATTGATATTTAATAATAAAAAATAATCAATACAGATAGATAACTATCTTTTTCAAACAACCAAACAATGGGTTCTTCCAAGATTCCCTTGTTTGTCTCCCAATAGTAGTTACTTCTTCCATTTCACAATAATCATAATTTTAAAATTTATAAAATGTCTAAAAATAAATGATGTTCTAAATGTAAAATCATGATATGTTAATTAATTTCTTTAGTTTTATAAAATAAAATCATAATATATCAATTTTATTATTCTTATTTATTATTAAATTGTTATGAGTGTGACACTCTTTATCCCACATACATAATTACACAATAAATAGAAATTAAAATCTTTCATAAATAAAATCAGAATCTCAATTATCACAAGTAGAGGATTCACATTCATAATTCATAAACAATAAATCCAAAAGGGAAATTACAAAAGAAGGAAACTAAGATTTTCATATATCCCTGGTGGCCTATGGCACACCTAGAATTTCACATACATACACTAGTATGTGGCCTTAGTGACACACCTAGCATAGCTCATTACACTGACATGCAGCCTAAACGACACACCTGGAGTCAGATATGCACATGATGCATGTCACACATTCACTGTTCATTGACTCAACATTTCACTTATCACAGATTCTCATATCTCATATCATGTTATCTCATATTATCATGTCACAAGTCACATCCTCACTTTTCAAATTTTCACATCATATTTACATAGTCTTATACAAGAAACTTCTCATAGCCATATACATCACAATAACACATAAACCATACCAAAAAATTATCCAACATCATACACATTCAATTTGCAATTCATAACATACAAAGCATAAAGGTCATAAACCCAACTTCATGATTTCATGCATTTTTTTACAACCAGTCAGTTAATATAATATTTCAATCGGTTAAAACACTCCAAATATTATCCAAAACATGAATCCATCATCAATTCTACATATAATACCTCAAAATTCATCCAAAGATCATATCCCTAATTTCACTTCATAAGGTTTCTCACAAGAACTCACTGAGCACTCTAATTCATATCAAAACTTATCTATTTTCGAAATTAATCATATATTCACATTCAGCAATCATTAAGGAACACAACAAAAAACTCAAACACGAAAACATAAAAATATCCGTTATTGAAATTGAACACATATTCACACTCAGAATCATATAAGGAACGCAACAGAACAAATAGAAAACAAAATAGAAAACTTTCATAAAATGCATATTCCCATAGGCATACATCAGTCAAGGGATTAGGGGTCAATCTAACTACCCTACATATATCTCCACGCCCCAAGTGAGATTTCTCACTCCTCCCTTACCTTGATGAGTAGAGGACAAAGCACGAGCGAAATCTGGTTGGTCTTCTTCTCTAAGGTCTCCTTATTCTTCAGAGCGTAGAACAAAATGAGAGTTAAGAGATGTCTTACATAAAAATGAATTAACTCCCATGTAACTTCTCCTAATCCCTCCTTCTCAATTAATAAATTAAAATAATAATAATAATAAAATATAATTTAATAAATGTCTAAGATGTCTTTCCTTCCCTCTTATAAAATAATTAATATAATTAAAATACAACTTTCACTTTTAATCAAATAATATAAGCATCATAAGATAAAATGCATTTCATAAAATTACTTTCATATAATACTAATGAAAATTATAAATCTTGAAATCATGTCTCAACATAAAAATATAATTTATATAACAAATTAAATTATATCCAAAACTCTAAATAAATACATTAAATATCAAAATAATTTCTAAAATATAATTTACAAAATCTAAGGGTGTTACAATGAGAAAGGTAAAAATATTATTTCATATCAAAGTCAATACGAATAAAATTAATAAATATCAATTGAAGAGTTCAAAAGGTGCAAGAAAATATTTAATTCTTATTTTTTATTCTTCATTATTCAACAAGAAATATATACACTAACAATTTTTTAATAAAAAGATGAAAATTGAAAAATAAAACTAATGATTTATAAAAATTGTAAATACCTTATTAAGAAAGGTCATCATTTCCTTCAAAAATGTGTCTTGTAATAAAATAGGAGAGAGTAGTACTTACGAAAATCATGGTTAACTTCTTTTGTAAAAAATAATTATTTCATTTTATGCCTTGTGAGGTTTGAGTTTTTTAGAAAGAGGTTCTAGAGAGAAGGACTCTGGTCCGTGAGTTCTCTTTTCTTAATCTTCTTCTCTTCTTCCCTGCTTATATTCTAAGTGGTGTTGTTTGTGATTCAGATAGTCGAGAAGTTTGAATCAGTTGTTGAAGTCATACGGAGTTAGTCGACATTCTTCTTCTTCTTCCTCGGGTAGCTCAGAGTGTGGATTTTCTTTCAATTCCGTGGTAAGGGAAGCTAGAATTTTTTAGTTGAAATTGAGGTGTTGAGTTGTTGGATTGATTTCAAGTAGTAATGTGTGGATCAATGTGAATGAGTTGGGATGAAGGTTGGGGTTTTGGGTTGGTTGAGGAATGAGATGATTTGTGAAAATTGTGCCAT